GGAAGAGGTAAAGGATGGGTGAACCACACAGAACTATAAGTTTAAGAAAGGCCAAGCCCGAGAAGGATGCAGGAGCAGAGCAGGGAGGGTGGTGGGAGCCATGGTCACAGCTCTACTCCCCACACTGAATCCAGAAGCCCAGGACCCCACACTCAAGTCACTGCAGGAGGTTTAGACATGACTCGTACCTCACCTGGCTCCACCCCACACAAACACACAGGCCACCTTCACCAATACAAGCCGATGCTATCACAGGATCCTTTCCCATTAAGGGTTCAGGATCCTCAACACTGTGCCCCAGGCGGCCACTTCCCAAAATTGGCTGGCATGTGAAATGAACCCCCTCATTCACATTAGAAGGCCGCTTTTGAAGAAGTGCTCCGCTATTTGCAATTCACCTCTTTGTTGTAGCCATACTAAAATGCAGAGCATAGACAGCTGTGTGACTTGGCTTACAAGAAAATGCTTTGCAAATTATGTATCGATGCCTTGTTCACTATGTTTCCGTTGCTGGAAATCGACTGCTTTACTGCATCAATGGACAAAGCAGTCTTTTCTCACATTTTCTTCCTTTAAAATCGTCTTTGTCCCTGTAACTTGATCCTTTGAGCAAGGAAGCTAATCTCATGCAGAGATTAGGTACTTCGCAGCCACCTTGCCAGCTTCTTCACACCCCATCTCCATGGGCAGACCTGTCACCTAGGCTGTGGAGAAATGCCTCCGAAGACCGCGTGCCAAGCTGATCTTTTTCAGCTTCAAATGTAAGTGACACTTTGGAATCTTCAGCCAATTCTACCCTTTTACTCTTTTGGTAGGCATAAGCATAGGCTTTCTGGGTCTCAGAATCAATTGACAGGATTTACTTCCTTAATAGAAAGACTTCAGAGAAGTGAAGCACAAGAGATTTTGAGCCAAACAGAAATGCAAAATTGTCTACCAGTAGAAAACAAATTTTAGATCCTAAACAATTTCATGTTTTATATCCTTGATTCTATTCTTTCACCCACAATTCTTGAGCTCTTTTCTCTGCATGAAAATACCTAGCCATCAGAATGTTTTCTGGTATCTAAATAGGATCCCTGAGAAAAATGAACTTTTTGATCCCTATCAACCTCATGAAGTGCAGATTTCTCATATCTAAGTACAAAATCTGCTAGGCATAAGTCCAATGCCCACGATAGGGCTATCCATACTTTTCTTAGACTGAAGCTGTATTAAGAAGGCAAGTTGATATAGTTCAGTTGGTAGATTGCTCGTCTTGCATGCACAAGGCCCTGGGTTCAATCCCTAGCACCAAAAAATAAAAGGCAAGTTATGCATTCTTTGCTGCAGTGTTACATCAAGTGTTCATGCGAAAAATTAGAGAATGAAGGACCAAGGCCTATACCAGAATCTCATTGCAATCTCCTGACAAATCCATCAGAATCACAGCACTATAGAAGAGACCCATCTCAGATCTGGCTGCGACTATCAAAGCAGAACCCCTGTAGCCTTCATTTTTAGTGAGGCTTGCTGGTTGCTAACCATGAAGCTCCACTCTCATCCCACGGGGCTCCAGAGTTAAATGGAGAATGCCAAAGACATGTCACCTCCAATTTGTCAAAACCATCCTGGATTCTGAACATTCCTATACTTAATAAAAGCAGGAATGAGGGGGAAAGAGAAGGTAGGATAAGGAAGACAGGACTTGGAGACATGCATTTAGTAGTATTTTAGACCCATAAGACAAAAGCTGATCCTGGGTTATGGCAAGCCAGCCACGGGATGCGAGTTATGAGCATTTTGAGCTCACAGCAGACTTGACTAGACTGGTGCTGCCGCCATGTCGGGGCTGTGCACGTCTGTGTCCCTTTCATGTGCTCTGCCTTTGATTACAGCACATGAGGCAGGTGTGATCTTCCACCATGTCAGTCTGCTGACAGCAAGACATCACAAAGCTAGACTCAACCCCCCAAAACCTAACCCTTTGCGGCATTTGAATGGCTTCTCACCAATAAAACCTGGGTTTGAGGGGTGTTTTCTTGCCTGCCTTGCCCCCCTTTGTGGGAGCTGTGGCTGAGGAGTGGTCACTGAACCCAAATAAGTTACTTTGTCTTTATTTAGTCCAAGTTTACTTGGAGTGACCCTGGCTGGTTTAGTTGTGTCATGACACTGGATCCTTCTAGAAAAGGAGGGTCTTTGCGGTATTGGATGTGATGTTAGTCTAACAGTAGCAGCTGCTATGTCCAGTGTCCACAGTAATTCATCTCACAGGGTTAAGAAGGGATATTATCTGTAGAGGAAAGGAGGACTCAGCCAATGGGTTCCCCCCACCCCACCCGTTGCCATTTCCTTTGTAATTTCAACTGGAGATTGGTATTAAGAAGCCAAACAACACCTCAAAGAAATCCTGCTCTGATGTTGCCCCTTGGAAAAGTAGAGAATGTTACAATGGAGGAGGTGCTTCATAAACATGACGCATACATTCCATTTTCTATACATAGCCAAAGGATATTGTTTAGTGCTATAATAAATCCAGATATTGCCAACAGAAAATGAAACAAGTGTTTTAATGCAAAGAAAAAAAACTGCTTTCTTGGGTGTTAGTGTTCATTTTACATTCAAGCCCTCTCATCTGGCATACTGAGGCCTGAGGTAACTAATGGTAAAAGCTGATTAAAGCAGAAAATGCTTTAAAAAACAATGTACACACTTTGAAAACTTGTACCTACAGGGACCACATGCCACAGTTTACCTATGAAGAGGCCAAACTGGTTCTTTGAGAAGCTACTCACTGGACTTCCACAAGGATCTTCTTTCATGAACCATGCTAAAAACATGGTCTACAACTTCCCATCCGTTTCCTCTGCCCCCCTCTGGTTCAAGCAAGAACCAAAGACAGTTGACAATAGAATCTTCTAGCCAGGCACAGTGGCACAGGCCTGTAATCCTAGCAGCTCGGGAGGCTGAGGCAGGAAGATGGGGAATTCAAAGGCAGCATCAGCAAAAGCAAGGTGCTAAGTAATTCAGTGAGACCCTGTCTCCAAACAAAATACAAAGTGGAGCTGGGGAATGTGGCTCAGTGTTTGAGTGTCCCGAGTTCAATCTCCAGCACCCAGAAAAGAAAGAGTTGTAGGTTTCTCACATTCTCCACTTCTCAGAATTATAACCCACTTATATTGACAAATGCTTTTGTAATGACCTATTTTCCACAGAATATCCAGTGAACTTTCAAAGCAGTAACTTGTATATTCATATCTTCCATTTATAAAATACTTGGGGATCATTAAGTTACATAATTCCAATGATGGGTGCAATTGACATAAGGAGGTTTAAGTGCACACACACTCACCAACCAGTTGAGCCCCTGCAGCAGTAAGGCAGGAGTGTCCCAGTCAAGGGTTGGCTCAGCTGGCTACTGTGCTGAGCACGCCATGGGATAGGATGGCCGTTTTTCATCCATCACACAGGACTTCAGAATACAGATGTTAATGCAGAGAGTCAACATTGAAGTTGTTTGGAGAAACTCCTGTACTTGATATAATTTAAGTATATACTGCAAAATAGTTTTTGTTTTTAGAAGGAGTCTGTTCAGAGTTTGAGCCTTTTTGTACAGTCTGTTTTCCTGTCCCTAGGAAATGCCAGTGTATACTCATGTCTCAAGTGTCTAGAGGCTGTCAGCTATGTGTAATTGTTGACCTTTAGTTGTGCTCAGCATATATGATGTGCCTGGCTTTATCCTAGATTGGAATTTGAATAGGGGAAAGTTTATCCAAAGTGATGAGTTACATGCATTTTCTTTAGGGAGAAATGATTGATACATATAACAGAAATTATGGACAGGTAATTAAAAAGCAAGCGATTAGATATAATTCAAGGCCCATGTATGTTTTACAGTCACTCAGTGCTACCAGCAGTTATAAAGTAGAACAGCCAAGGTTGGATGCAGGTCCTCGACTTATTTCCCAAAACATTTAAATCCTCCCAACATCCTGACCTTCCCATCTGAAGTCACCTGTGTAGTCACTCTTGATTACAGAGTCAGAGCCTCATTCTTACTTGCAACCTCACCACTTCACTGCAAGTGAAGTAAAATGACAGATTCCTCTCCATCTCTAGCTCCCCCCATCCATCCCTGCTCTCCAAGAAAGCAAAAAGGAAAAACCACCAGAAACTATTCCTTTCACTCCACCCATGAAACCACATTCCAGGTGCAGACTAGGACTCAACAAAAATTATTTTCTAATTAGAGACCTGAATGAAGACCACTGCGTATATTAAAAGCAAAATTACAGATATGAAGTACTTCCACACAAAGTGAGTTTTAGTTCCTTTTCTTAGAAAATTATGTTCTTGCTTCAACTTGACCCAATGCCAGGAGGAAACGGGCCACAATGTTATAGACTATTTACATGAGGTTGCCCATTTTAGGCAAGAAATCTACTTTCTACCATTGAATCAGTGTCTCCGGGTGGGGAAACCAAGGGTTTCAGCAAAACCAGTGGCTACAGGAATGGTCCCTGCAGTGTCCAATTGACCTCGGGCAAGCCATTCTGAACCTCAAGTATATTCATCCAAGTAATACCATTTTGCTCTATATCCACATGTGCCTTCACTGACCCAAGATTTCCTTTCCAATCATCTGGCCAAGCCTAGAACATCAGATCTGCTTCCCCACAAATGGGCTTCCCAGATCCACCAAGAAGCACCTGAAGGATCACACCAAAGACTAGAGGCTCACACTGGTTAGAGCCCAGGAAGAACCTCTTCTGTCCCAGCACTGCAAGAATCTCACTAGCAATCTGAAATTCAAGCTCCAGTCACATCTGAAGAGCAAAAGCAGCCAAGATGAAACAGGACTCGAAATCATTGCTCAAAATGCTTCACTAAAACTACAAGAGCCCACAATAGGCGTGGACTAAGCATATGACATGCCCGAGTTTGTAACAGTGATGTTTCTCAGCTCATGTTTGATCTTTAAGTATGAACAGCAAACATGCCCTGCTGTAGGTGTCACTCACCGATGCAGGCATGGACCCTCACGGACAGCTGCGTCCTCAAGATGATGCTGTGCTTCTTGCCCCTCCTAAGGGAAACAGTGACAAAACATAGCGTGTGAGTCAACAAATTTACCCAATGCTGTTGATCAACAGCCATCTGAAAGATTTCTAATAAGCAGGGTCCCAAACTGAACCAGAATCTACCCTGAAATAATGCAACATTATAGGGCTTCAAGGAAGCAAAAACAGACCAATTTTGTTGGATTGGCACATGTGTTTTGTTGTCAAGTCCCATCAACTCGTTCCATCCACAGAGTTTGCACATAGTCATGCTTGATTATGCTGGGAAATTTTTTTTAAGATCCGGGTCTGTGAAGTGAAATTCCTGGAATGTAACAATTGTTTGATCATTCCCATAGCTATATTTTTTATATAGTTACAGGAAAAGGAAACAAATCACAGGGCAATCAGAGCTGTTCTGCCGGGTATAAATTCAGTCGTCTCTGCTTTTTTCTGTCCTCTTTCAGGACAAGAATCCAATGAAGAGCACTTACAGGCCAACTGACACCACCCCCAATCGCACTAGTTTCTGTCTGTCTCTGGTTCTCAGTGAGAAGGGTCCTCCCCAATTCCACTCCTACCAGGGCCTACCCTCCATAGTGCCAGGCCTTATGAAGTACAGAGCATCAGGTAGGATATGGAAGAAGAGAACCTGAGTCCTTGCTACCTGGGGTTGAACAGGGATCCTGAGCCTAGACACATGGGCAAGGGGCAGAGGTTAAACAGGGCCACAGTGTGACAGTGTCAGTATTTAGTGGCTGAATTCTGTCCCAGCCTCATCTCTCCCCACGGGGAAAGCCTGGGCATGGCTTCCTACTTCCTGGTGCTGTGGCTGTGAGAAGAGGCCCTAGAACTCACCAAGGCACACTGTTAATATAGTTATGAATTATCCACAGTAGTGACTGCATTGGTTATTTTTACTCTGGAGATCAGATAATTAAAACAGGCTGATTCTTTAGAAAAACCAGTTTTATAGTCCTAGAAACATGCTAGCCTTCAGCCCAGCAACTGCTCATGGGGTGGAGAATCTTGGGCTGCCTTTGAATTGCAGTGAAGCCTGTCCGTTTTTGTGTTTGACTGGTTTACACCTCCTACACGCTGGGCATTAGTTTTTAAAAGGTTACAAATACTCAACACCTGGCCCGTCTATAAGTCCGGTTTGAGATTTCTATGAACAGATTTCTGCAAAATTTTATTCCTCAAAAAAAAAAATTATGACAGACTTTCTTCCAACTCTTGTTATCCTATAAAAAAAATTCCATTAGGTGTTTTGAACTGAATTATTGGACTTCCTTTTGTTTGACTGCCAAGAAGATGTTCTGAGGTAGGGCAGGCCCAGCAGGTGTGTTTGTCTTACCCGGCCAAGAATAAAGCCCTGATGGCTTCCAATCCCAAGGAATTTCTGTAACCCACATCAGTTGTAATTCAATAGTAAGCATCATGTGATCCTTGATAGACCATGAATTGGCCAAAGATAACATCTCTGAATACCCCAAGTTCTGGAGGATTCACAAGAGGGTTCAGACAGCAACGGCAGTTCTTAACCTGCATTTGCAAGCTTTCTGGCCTACCCACAGGTCAGCCCCACAACTACATAAGCCCATTCCCTAAAGTTTCTTGGGTTATCTGGATAGAGCTTATTGGTATGGTTTCTCCAGGGACTCCTAATACAAACTTTGGTACCTGCCTTCCTGGAGCTTCCATGTTGCAGAAATTAAATTGGAGAAGCTGTCACTGGACACTAGGGTAAGCACTTTAATAACCCTTTATCTCCCAGAGATGGGTGTGCCAGAGCCCCTTTACAACTGCATCTTCCCAGTCACCCTTCAGTAGCAGTGGGGGGGGGGGGGAAGAGAATGTACGGAGTACCAGAACTCTGAAGGCAGCTCAGTGTGACCTAACTGCTCCGGGAGGATTCCAGTCCTGTTATCAGCGTGGCCAATGCAGGGAAACGGCTCTAGTTCAAGTCCAGCTGCTCTTCCGAACCAGTGGCCATACCTCAACCTGAGGCCACATCCAAGGCCAACACCACCCCAGTGACAATGGAATTATCTAAAACAGATGTGCAACTCAAGGAGAATGCCTGTCAAGGCCTGTGCATAAGGGATGCGATGGCACTACCACTAAATTTCCCAAAACTTCCTGGATTCTCAGAAAACACGAGTTTCTCTTATTATGCCTATGGCCTTGGGGAAGCAAAAATCTGATTTAACCATTTAAGGCTCCCAGAAGCCTGTGTTTCCATTCCATCCCTCTCAAGGGCACATTTTTGCAGAAAACCAAAGACCTTGGGATAAAAGCAAGGGTCAAAGCCTTTGAGCAGAGTCAAAGGCTTGATCATTTTGGTACCAACAGTGGAACTAATGACCCAAATATTCCTCCAGTCTCATAAGAACCAATCTTAAGGTTAGAATTCCATGGTTAACTATCCTGCAAGACCAGGGTCCCTCTGCAGTTGCCCAAATAGAAATTTCTTAACAGCTTCCAGAGCTGGAAGCCTCAGTCAACACTCCTGCCTGGGGATACAGAGATGAAGGGGGATTTCAACCAGTCACCAGCTAGTAAAAGTACATGCTGAGATTTACTTAGAAGCTCAATGTCTAAGAGCCAGCTGCCATTATACTGACCTCCCAAAATATTCCGGTCTCTCCCATTACACTGGGGGACGTGGGGGGTTAAGAAAACACCAGACTCAAGCCAGCTGTGCGATCTTTGACAAGTTACTTAACCCAAGTCTGTAAAATGGGATAATGCTGCCTAGTTTCTATGCAGGGTGAGAGGAACACGCAAACAGTGTGCTAGGAACATGCCCGGCATGTGGTAGGTGCTAGACAATGTTCTTGGTAAGGGTACAGGATGGCAGTCTCCAAGCCACCTTCACTTCCCTTGTTCCATTCCTGTCCTAATTGATTGGCTATCCACTCCTCTTCATGTCAGTCTGCCTTGTTACTTCCATCTTTCCCTTCTCTCCCTTTTTATCACCCATTCAAGAATCCACAGCAATGACCCATTTGTTATTGCTTCTTTCCTGCTCAATTAAAATTCCAGGGATTTAACACGAACTTTTTCAAGGGACCCTACTAAAGCTTGTCCTTTCTGTGTAGTGTTTGGCAACAGATCTCCAAGGAAGGAGCTATCTGCTCTAACTGTAAGGAGTCCCAAGATACACAGGATTCATTTGGAAGTGCCTTGCAGTATACATCCTGTGACCCAAGCATGAAGCCCCTGCATGTGTCCAGAGGGAACCAAAGCTCTGATTCCTGGGTGCTTTCTCAGAGGCCAGTTCCACTATCTTTTTGCTGTTCTCTCCTCCACCATAATTTCTCATCCCAAAAGCTGGAACTTACCATACCCAGCCCAATCTGTCACAAGCTCAGCCAGCATCTCATCCATGAGCATTCCTTGACATCTTTGTAGCCTTTAATGAGGTACGATTAGGGACCATAAAATTGATGGCTGTACAACTATTAATACACCAGTAATCAGCAAAAATCTAATTTTTCTTCACTGCCCAAGAGAGAAGCTTCATGTCCATCTGCCATCATTGCCTAGTGCCACACAGCCTGACACTAGTTTACCTTGTCTCTACACATTTTCCTTTTCTGGACGCTTCATACAAATTATACAGCATCATTGTGTGTCCGGTTTCAAGCCTCATCCATCCCATGACACATTCATACTTCACTTTTTATTGCCAAGTAGTATTCTATTGGATATGCATGTGGCATTTGGCTAGCTGGCATGCGGTAAGTGCTACACAATGTTCTTGATAAGAGACAAATCCTTGATAAGGATTTATCAAGACAATGTTCTCGATAAATCTGTTGAGGGACAAGTTGTTTCCATTTGAGTTAATAGTACAAATTCTTACCTAGGTAAGCCAGGCTTTGTGGCACACACTTGCAATCCCCGAGTCAGAGGATGTCAAGTTCAAAGTCAGCCTCAGCTATTTAGCAAGGCCCAGCTCCAATACCAAAGAAAGGTTTCAGGATGTGGCTCAATTACTGGTGTAATCCCTAGTACCAAAAAACAAATTTTTTCCCAGAGATAAAACATTTGCCTATGTCTAGAGATAAAATTGTAGGGCTATGTAGTTTAACATTTTAAGAAACTATCACACCGATTCTTCTAAAGCAGCTGTACTATGTTCCCACCAGTAATGTATAAGGGGTCCAGTGTCAATACGTTACTGTCATGTTGATCCTAGTAAGTGTGAAGTGACGTCCCATGGTTTTGATCCATCTTTCCCTAAGGACTTACGATGTTGAGCATCTTTGCTTATTGGCCACTTGTATTTTTACTTGGAGAAATGTCAAATCCTTTGTTGCTTTAATTGGTTTATTATTAAATTGCAAAAATTCTATTCTAGTTGTAAGTCCCTTATCAGATGCAACTTGAAGACATTCTGAAGCTGAAATTTTCACTTTATCAATGACATCTTTTGAGGTAAAAGAGATCATTTTGATTAAGTCCAATTTGCATTTTGTCCCTTGTGATTTTGGTGTCATGTCTAAGACTATTGCCTAACCCGAGGCTATGGAGACTTTCCTAGGAATTTGATACTTATATGTAAGAGTTAAGACCCATTTTGTTCATTTCTGTGCATGCTTTAAATCCCCCCATATTCAGACCCTTTTTTCTTACCTTCTATACGTGGCTCTCCTCCAAAAGCAGAGAAGCCCTTGTTTGACACATCCACAGTTTCCAGGCAATCCCACTGATCCCCCACCATCCTCAGCTCCCCTATGCTTTGGATTCCCCCTTCCCAAGGGCATCTTCAATCTCTGACATGCCTGGTTCCTCTCGAAGCCCTACCTTGTGGTCTGGTGTACTTAACTGCTCTCTTCGAGAGCACCTCTCCCCTTGCAGAGCAGGCACTGCTGGTTACCTATCCTGTACCCATATTCCCCGTCTTATAAAAAGACCATTATTTGGGGCTGGGGTTGTGGCTTAGTGGTAAAGCACTTGCCTGCATGTGTTGAGGCACTGGGTTTGAGCCTTAGCACCACGTAAAAAGATAAAGGTA